AGTGGGGTCACAGCTCCTGTGGCGTTGGGGTATCGAGGAGGGTCTCAGAACACATCCCAGCAAGCGCCCAGGGTCGACTGCAGCGAGGAGAGTGCATGTCCCTACGCGGTGCACCCTGCTGTTCCCATTCGCATCACGGTGCTATCACAGAGATCACAAAGCACTCATAAATCTTCCGTGCGACTCACTGTAAAGAGCAAGTGTCAGGTCCCAAACTGTGTAAACACAGCTGGTACACAGTAAAACTATTTCGATACTACACATATTTATTTTGTTTTTCATATCCCATACTGTAACAGCACCTAGTATACAGTGAACGTGGAATGAAAGACCAGTATTATTAACTGTGACACTGAACTAATTTATACAGACCCAAAATAAAGTGTCACAATAAAATGAAAAACTACAAAATTATATTATTTGAAATTAATATATAGAGAAAAAAATGCAACCTCTGAAGAACTATTTTACAGTTCTAGGAGTCCGTATACCAGGCAGGATAGCTCAGCAGCGACACCTTGTGGCGAAATCTTTAATTCCCAGCCGCAAAGAAGACCCGGGGAAGCAGGAAACAAGAGCAGGCATAAAGCATGTCCCGCCCATCAACCAGGTGAAGCATACGGGTAGTACACGACAGATGGCTGGGTGCCGAGGTCCCCTGCGTAAGTTAACTCCATGGGGATCAATAAGATCTACCAAATAGGGATTCAGGAAAAAACACCATCGGAAGCACAACCCAGTACTCTTCTCCGTCTCTAACAGACCGTATCTACAAATATTGATTGAGTTATGGCACAATGACTAGGTGTTCCAAAACGTGCCTCCTCGCAGGACAAGAGCAAGGGAAATCATCCAGCTGCCTCCAGAAAGACCACCTCAGTAGGAGAGTATCTTCAAATTCATTTGCACAGCAATATTTTAGAGAAGCAGTATTCCAGGAAAATGTAATTTAAAACTCTGAACGCTGCCATTGTTTTCCACAGCAGACTCAAGGTCTTCTAAGAGGAGATAATAAGCTTTAAGAAACAGGGACTAGCAGATGGTCTAATGGTCACATTGCTGGTCTCCCACATGATCAACTGTGGTCTGAGACCCAGACCCAGCAGCTTAAAACTCACCCCGGGCATGTGAGCATGTCCAAGATCCCAAGAGGAGAATGGAGGAGAAGGGATTACAGCACGGCCATACCCCCGGGGGGTGATCTTTCACTTTCTGTCTCTCTAACTCTGCACACACGCTCTATAGCAAAATCTCTGAAAGAATTAAAAAAGAAATAAAGAAATGGACCAGCAAGTACTCTGGTGGTTAAGGTGCTGGACTCCCACATGGTCAACCCACAGTTCAAATCCCGGACCTGATGGCTTGTTTTTTCTTTCCCTCTCTTTCTCCCTCTCTGTCTCTCTCTGGTCAAATTAAAATAATAATAATAATAATAATAAATGGAATTAAACAAATAATTATTTTTTTAAAAAAAGAAGAAATGAGGATAAGGGCACAGCAGCCATGGTGCTGGTAGTAACAGGGAGTCACACGCCAACTGCGGGTCTGTATCCCAGGTCGGCCTGAGACACACGGTATGCTTGTATACAGGATCTGAACCAGCTTGAAGACTGAGGAAAGGGGTCGTAGTGTGAGGAGACCCTGTCGAGGATGCCCGTCTCTCACTCTGATTAAAGAAAGAAATTTAAACAAAAAGAAAATGTATACAATCATACACAGACTTGCTCAGTTCCTTGGGCTCCCAAAGTAAAGCAAAACTCAAGTCAGAAATGAGCATTGAGGGGGAATGTGGTTCACAGCATAGCTACCCAAAATCAACCAGACCAAGTGAAAGGCCTCAATGAGAAACGAACATTTTGAAAATTGTATTCCAAAGTTATGCAATGAGGGGCTTGGCAGGGTGTGTCTAAGTATGGGTATAGAAAGCAAATATTTGCAATTTTAATTCTGTGCCAAGCATTTCATCCCAAGGCTTGTGAGTGGGGAAATCAATGTTCCCCCAATCAATCAATGGGGGGGAAATGCCCCCACCCCCACCACCGCCCCAGGAGGCTTAAAGAACTAGAAGGGCAAAAATATTTAGCATATGTTTTGTGTGTGAGTGTGTGTGTGTGTGTCTATGTGTAAATTCGTTTATTTCTTCCATGAACTAGAGACAAAGTTAATAAACATCCCCACTATACCATACATAATAAACATCCCCACTAGACCATACAGTCATGTGTGACGTTGTTGTGACCATTCCTGACAAAAAGAAGAAGCAAGGCCCTGCAAGCTGCAGACTTAGTGGCTGAGCTGTGTGCTCAGTGCCTCTCTGACCAGGGCCTTCACGTGGGACCCCCAGGAGCAGCATTGCAACTCAGGCCACAGGAAAATCACAATACATTAAACCATAACACAGGAATATAAATCAAGGCTCGCTAGTAACACTCTTCAAAATAAGAAGACTTGAAGAAGACTTGGCCACCCTTGGTGACTAAGGCAATAGCGTACTGATCAGCAGAGCTGGAAGCCACGTGGCCAACTGCAGGTTCACAACCACCATCAACCAGAAACATGCTGGGGAGTGCACAGGCACATTTAAGACCCTGCCTAGCTGGAGGGTGGGGGGAGCAGCTAGTGGCATGATAAGGCCCTGTCGAGGGTGCCTGTCTCCCTCCCACTTTCTCTCATGAAAGAAACAAAATTTAAAAAGTAGTTGAAGAGGACAGTGGGTGGCATGGTGGCTAAGGCACTGGACTCCCACATGGCAAACCACAGTATGAGTCCCAGATCTAGTGGCTTGCTTTCTCACTTTTTCTCTCTTAATCTGGTGAAGGCACATGCTCTATAACAAACTGAAAAATAATAGTAATGTTAAATAAAATTAAATAATTTTTTTTAAAAAGTAGTTTTTAAATAAGAACATGTGATACTATCATAGCAATGCTGTCATCCCAAGAAAAAGACAGATATTAAGATTTATTTGAGAGGTTCATAAATAAAGCTTTATTCATATCTAATTGGTGTACATGAAGACTTCTGAAATAAATTTAATCTCTAAAATAAAGCAACAATAAAAGTGTATGCTTTTAAAAACTCCAATAAAAATGCAAAAAAAGAATAAATTAATTTTAGTTTTTATTTTCAACAGAATTATTTATTTATTTTATTCCATTTGTTATTATTATTATTTTTTAATTTGACCAGAGATAGACAGAGAGAGAGAGAGGGAAAGTGAGAAAGCAAGCTGCCAGGCCCAGGACTAAAATTGTGGTCGGCCATATGGAATTCTAGCGCCTTTACCCACCACCCCACCGGCCGGCCCCACGAATATTCTTTACATTAAAAACATCATTTGTGAGGCCGGCAGACGGCGTGGTGGTTAAGGGTGCTGGACTCCCACATGGTCGACTATGGTTTGAGTCCCAGACC